GTTGTGGCCTGGTTCGCCCGCGAGGGACTCACAAGGTCGATTTCGGCCCCGGCCGGGGAGCAGGCCGAGGAGGTATATGTATAGACCTATACTTATATATATGTATGATATGTATGCGACACGCTTCGCGGACCCTTGAAAACAAAATGACTACTGGTACTTAAAGACTAATAAGGAAATATTCCAAGCGCCGGAAATCAGAGGGAGGGAGAGAGGACAAAGGAGAGTCATGGGCGAAGGCCTATGTCGTACGCGCTTCCTCCGTGGTAGAGATGGCCTAGCTAACTGTACTCTGTGTGACGACATGGAAAGCGTCCTCAGTTGGTGGCTTGCGGCTCTCTCGCAGTTACGGCACACACCGACAACATTATGAGCATGGACGAGAGACGGACGGAGGGACCGGTAACAGTCAACTTACCAACCGAAAGAGGGACGGGCAGTTGCACAACTTGTCAACTTGTCAACGTTCGACGTAGACCTGTGTAGCCGCGTAGATGATGCACACTACCACCGAACCATGTAGACTACTGCAGTATAAGACCAGGGGCAGCGATCTCGGCAGTTGACATGCGGTCCGGAAACCTTGCTTCACATGCGGTCAGAAACACTGACTGCTCATTTGTCAGCGATGACTAGCGCTGACTAGTCTGTCTAATGGTGTAACTGTATCTTACATCATTGATCACTTCTAACCACACAAAAAAACGAGAGACCCACGCGCATGGACGACACTCAATAAAAGGCCGGCGAATATACAAGTCTATGCGATGTAGATATATTCCGAACACGCTAGTAATGAACGAGAGCAACGATGACTGTTGCTCTCCGTGCACGTTCTAGGAAATGAGTGACGCGTACGGGTGTCCAACACGAACAGACAGAGAGACTGCATACCTCCAAGATGCCCGATGTGGTGCATGAAAACAGCAGCCTGAGGGGTACAACGCATCAAGCAAGGTGGCAATGAAAGCCCCGCTAATTCGCAAGAACAAAAAATTACTTGCATTACAACCGGACGGACCCGCCTCTTTGTCTGTTCGACCGCCCCGTTCGGGGTGCGGCACAGACAAGACCGACTTGTCGGAAGCTCCTCACACTCGGCGAGGGGTCATGATCTGCGATTTCCCACTGAACCATACTCGAGACTCCGCGAGATTTACTTGCTTTGTAGATCAAGATCAGCATTTCGGGCCGGGTCGGACAAGGGGTGGGGGAGGCGAACGAAACATGGATGTTGGTCTGAGAAGCTGGAGCTAAAGCTTCAGAATTGCTGTTCTCGCCACTCCCGTGCAGATCATCCCGTGAGGAATGGAGTAGAGACGAGTGGAATAGTCCTTGCAGGGGAATATCATCGTCCAGTTACAAATTGCATCTAATGGGCCCGAAACGAATTAGTTTTCTAGGTGGAAATCAAGGCAAGCACCGCAGAAGGAAGGAGAAAAACGCCAGTCTGACTTGGTCTGACCCCCCTAGTGTGCGTCCAGAAATTGCAGACTACCGCAAGGTGTAAGGACCGACGTCCAGACTAAATGGGATGGAGAAAGGAAACAAAAGCTTGGTTAGGGTATCTGTGGGGGAGAAATACATTAATTAATGCGTTGTTTTTGTTAAGAAATTCTACGAAACACGAAAAATACACAAAAAAAGAAAAAAAAATGAACCGCTTGAAGAAGGAATTACATGAAGAAATAATTGTTCGCCAAAAGAAGCATGTACTTGCATTCTTCGATCGAGAAAACGTCGTCTCAAGGGGGGGACTCATTACCCCGTACAGCCTTAGTGCCACGGATCGTCCAAAGCCACAGACTCCGTAACCAACAAAACCACCTGGGCAACGCTACAATGAAAGCGTCAAGAATTCCTGCCGGGAAACTCAAAGCCACTTCTAGATCACAGAATTATTGGCCGCTCCAAGCGGGAGTTTGCAACTGCTTCACCTGGATACCTCACAACCCTATCAACCCAGACAACTCACCAATAGAATGGACAACAAGAGCGCATGCATGGATGCATAACGTGAATGTGATAAAGCGGTCCACCAGAGGTACTGCTTTTCTTTCATCCAATAACATCGCTTTTCTGTGATGGGGGTGCTTGCACGTTTGACAATGCCTCAACCAACACCCCCCAAGCTCCATTGTCCAACACATGCGAACGTGTCCGCCATACACAAAACCCCAAGCACCGAATGAAGTCAACATCCTCACACACTACGCACGCGATGGAGTTACACTAGAGTCTACGCCTCGCCAATCAACATGGGAACGTCGGAAGAAAAGAAGTTATCAGCGCATTTTGCGTTAGGCACTAAACCACAAACGTCGCAATTTCAATAATACGGGAAAAAGGACGATAAATCGAGCGCTGTCGTAACCCGACCGAATGCTCCAGCAAAGAGCCACGCACGCACCACGCCCACCCACTTATCGTACCCAACCCTCGAACTACATACGATACACTACGTGGTCTGTCTTCCACTCAGTCTGTACACTTGACCGCAAACCAAAGGTACCCCACCTTTGGAGCGGCAACGTAAAGCACACACTCGGTTCAATTCACATACACGAGAACGGACATGTCCTGACCAACAACCACTGCACACAATCATGCCACACACCACAAAGCAATAAGAAAAGGTCACGCGAGCTAAGACCACACTCAACCACGGAAAAAGAGCAAAACGAAAACAGTACTCGTCGATGTCCCAAACTACACTACACCCCTAGACGCCGCAAAGCCTTCTGGATGTCTCATTGCGGGGGAAACTTGAGGCGCACCGTCAGTGGCCTGTGGTCTGACAACGAGAAATTTGGGCACCATTCCGCCGCGTCTACCTCCCCCGGCAAGACCAACGCCTCCTCGACAGACACGTTTTCGCAAAGCCTGGGGACGAGACCAGGAATCTCAGGTGCCGTCGCCGGTGCGACGGAGTCTCCTCTTCGCCTCCCGGCAAAGCCCGGCGCCTTGACAAACACGTGGTCGCACATAACCTTGTAAAAATGTCGACAATAGGAGAAGTGTGGGGTACGAAGACGAGGATCGGGGGTAAAAAAAAATGCCTCGAGAAACTGAGCAAAACATGAGAGGGCTGTCCTTCGGATAAGCAGACTCTGCGGTCTCCCCGTTGTGCGCGTTGGACACATCCCACTACCAAACAATTTCCCACTCAATCTGACGCCCCGTCAACGGCATTTCCTCCTCCGCTGCGGCCACTAAGCGTGCCCGCAGTGAGCGTGGGCAAAAACACAGCAAGCAATCAAAAAAGGTAACGGTGCTGTAGATTCAGTCGATAGGGAGGGTGTTGACAACACGTGCCATCCATGCCGGCGCCGCAAGCAATTGTCATGGCGTGGACCCCTATCCTTGGCGAAAAGAACTCACGTCTTCCCCTCGGTGGTTGCGGTGCGTGATGACCCGCCGCTCCCGATGCAACGACGTAAACGCGCTCCTGAAGCCGTTCCGGCCAAGGTGCCCACAGACCGGGTCCGTCTCCTCCACGTTAAGGTCCCCGACAACCACCCGAGGGGTCATGGTCGGCAGCCCGGCCTCCACCATCATTCCCTCGACCGTGTCCGTGACCGCTCGGATCTGAGACATCTGGTTGACGCGATCGAGCGCGTTGTGGGGGAACGCCAGGTGTGTGTTGACCAGGATCATGTCCTCTCCGACCTCGCCGCCCCCCGCGCCCGACTCCCGGAGGTGCATTATCAGGGCCACCCTGTCGCCGATGCAAGACAGCGACAGGCCTAGCTGGGAGAGGACGTCGAACTTGCCTCGCCTCAGTAGCACCGCCACCCCATCGGACTTGAGGCCCGTGCGCTTGACGGTGTAGAACTCGTAGTCCTCCTCGAGCGCCGACTGGAAGATGGCGTGATAGGCGGGGTCCAGCCAGAACTCTTGCAGGCAAATGATGTCGGACGAAGACATGTGTCGACAGATGAAGTCCACCTAACGCCGGCGGGGGTGCGGGGGGGGGG